TTGACAATTTGTTGAGTTTGTCTAAAGACCTGGGATCCATAGAAAGGAAACATTTAGGTTAAGATAAAAGACTGTAGAGACCAAGGTTCTTTTGAAGTCTTATAAGTGGCTGCCCTTAGAGCTGATAGATGACAAGTGTTTCCTATTTAGATCTTTAAACGGTGCTAGACTCCTACTTAATCTCTTTAGGATTGGGAGGGCCTTGGAAGAAAAGATCTAGCTATGTTAACAGAGATTTTCTTTCTTTCTTTCTTTCTTTTCTTTTTTTCTTTTCTTTTCTTTTTTTTTTTTTTTTTTTTTTGAGATGGAGTTTCACTCTTTTTGCCCAAGCAAAAAGGCGGATGAATCACCTGGGGTCAGGGGTTCCAGACCAGCCTAGCTAACATAGTGAAATCCTGTCTCTACTAAAAATACAAAAATTAGCTGGGTGTGGTGGCGAATGCCTGTAGTCCCAGCTACTCAGGAGGCTGAGGCAGGAGAATCCCTTGAACCTGGGAGGCAGAGGTTGCAATAAGCTGAGACAGCATCACTGCACTCCAGCCTGGGTGACAGGAGCAAAACTCTGTCTAAAAAACAAAAATCCTTCTACGGCTTCTCAACACATGTGAAATATAGTTTAGACTTCTTGAGTGCAGGTTTCTTCTTCCTCTTGAACTATGTTTCCTATAACTGCCCTCTTGCTCCCTATAATCAGCTACTCTACTCTCTCTCTCTTTCTTTTTTTTTAGACAGAGTCTCGATTTGTTGCCCAGGCTGGAGTGCAGTGGTGTGATCTCAGCTCACTTCAACCTCTGCCTCCCAGGTTCTAGCAATTCTCCTGTGTCAGCCTCCAGAGTAGCTGAGACTATAGGTGTGCACCACCATACCCAGGTAATTTTTGTATTTTTAGTAGATATGGGGTTCACCATATTGGCTGGTCTTGAACTCCTGACCTCAGCTTCCCAAGTGCTGGAATTATAGGTGTGAGCCATCACGCTCAGCCTCTACTATTTGTACATTTGTTTGTTTGAAGTTTTTCAGATTTATCAAGGCTTTTCTTGTCTTCGAAAATGCTTTGCCTCACTTTGCCTCTCCCAAGTATCCTCTACCCTCTCCTATCTGTTTTCCTCTCTCAGTCTTTGTTTAGCTCTTTGTATTTTTAAATCTGCTATTATTTTATCTTGCTCTTTCTTAATATTATTTCCCCTTTCTAAAATGTAAACTCTGTGAAGACTGAGAGGCAGAGGCCATTTGTTTTGCATGCTCTACACTATTATTGGTACATATTTTTTTTTCTCTCTTTTTTTTTTTTTTTTTTTTTGAGATAGTGTTTTGCTTGTCACCCAGGCTGGAGTGCAATGGCACGATGTCTGCTCACTGTAACCTCAGCCTCCCGGGTTCAAGTGATTCTCTTGCCCCAGTCTCCTGAGTAGCTGGGATTACAGGTGTGCACCACCACACCTGGCTAATTTTTTTTTTGGTATTTTTAGTAGAGACGGGGTTTTGCCATGTTGGCCAGGCTGGTCTAGAACTCCTGGCCTCAAGTGATCCGCCAACCTCAGCCTCCCAAAGTGCTGGGATTACAAGTGTCAGCCACTGTGCCTGGCCAATGCATAATTTCTTAAATCATACTTGCTGAACATATACACACAGATGCTATTAAATGAATGTAATGTAAGCACAACGAAAATTATTCCTACTGGGCAGAAGAAAGGACATCTATTTCAAGTAGACCAGAAGAAAGAATAAAAGGCTAGATATGGCTCTATAGATGTTTGTAGCCTTGGCGCACAAAGCAACCTGAAGGCTTTTGTTCTATCAACTGGGAGAACAAGTTCCTTGCTTGGAATTAATGAGTTTGGTAATACAGTGTGGGTATGAAATTTGAAGACCTACTAAAAGAAATGGAGAAATTCCAAGAAGAAACCTAGAAAGACTGCTACATGGCCCTGGTGATGTTGGACACCTTGACTTTATAGTAACCTTAATCAGTACAGTTGAGATTTTTTCCAAGACTGCCTAGCAGTGTGAGCATTGAGGAGAAATCAGTGAGCTCCATTGAACCAGGTTTGTTTTTTTTTTTTTTCTGAGACTGGGTCTTGCTCTATCACCCAGGCTGGAGTGTAGTAGTGCAATCTCAGCTCACTGCAACCTCAGTCTCCTGGGTTCAAGTGATTCTCCTGCCTCAGCCTCCTGAGTAGCTGGGACTACAGAACTGCCCCACCACACCTGGCTAATTTTTGTATTTTTAGTAGAGACGTGTTACACCATGTTAGCCAAGATGGTCTGGAACTTCTGACTTCGATCCACCCACCTCGGCCTCCCAAAGTGCTGTGATTACAGGCTTGAGCCACTCTGCCCAGCCAAACCGGTATTTAAAGATTTTTAAAAAAATTTTTTTAAAGATTTTTTAGAAAATTAAAAAAAATTGAGAACAATAGTGATGGCGATAGTGATGATTAACAGATGTATTAGATTCAGTATAGAAAGAATTCTTTTTATTTATTTTTTATTATTATTTATTTTATTATTATTATTATTATTATTATTATTATTATTTTAAAGATAGGGTTTCACCATGATGGCCAAGCTCGTCTTGAACTCCTGACCTCAGGTGATCCACCCACCTCAGCCTCCCAAAGTGCTAGGATTACAGGCGTGAGCCACCGCGCCCGGCTTATAGAAAGAACTGAGGCAGGCCAGGCGCGGTGGCTCACGCCTATAATCCCAGCTCTTTGAGAGGCCAAGGTGGGCGGATCACCTGAGATCAGGAGTTTGAGACCAGCCTGCCCAACATGACAAAACCCCCGTCTCTACTAAAAATACAAAAAAATTAGTTGGGCTTGGTGGCGGTCGCCTGTAATCCGAACTACTTGAGAGGCTGAAGCAGGAGAATCGGTTGAACCTGGGAGCCAGAGGTTGCAGTTAGCCAAGATCACGACACTGCACTCCAGCCTGGATGACAAGAGCGAAACTCCATCTCAAAAAAAAAAAAAAAAAAAAAGGAAAAAGAAAAAAGAATTGAGGCCAAGCTGGGTGTGGTGGCTCATGCCTGTAATCCAAGCACTTTGGAGGCCAAGGCGGACGGATCACCTGAGGTTGGGAGTTCAAGACCAGCCTGACCAACATGGTGAAGACGAGGGTCTTTAAAAATAATAATAATAATAATAAAGAATTGAGGCCAAAAGTGTGCAAATAGCTAGTGACCAAATGGGAGGGTTATGTGAGTGAGAGACTCCACGCGGCTGAGGAGCAGTGCATGTGAAGCAGATTAGAAAAAGACACACTATGGGATGGAGGCAGGACAGAGTAGTATGTCGTGGTTGGAGTGACTCTATGTTTCAAATAAGATGGTTGGGGCTAGAGAGAGGGTGTGGGGCAGAGAGATGCCTTTAGAATAAGATATCGTAGCCAAGATTTTCTAATGCCAATGAATGTTTTATCTTTTTTTTTCTTAGACAGACTTTGGCTCTTGTTGCCCAGTCTAGAGCACAATGGCGCGATCTCGGCTCACGGCAACCTCCGTCTCCTGGGTTCAAGCAATTCTCCTGCCTCAGCCTCCTGAGTAGCTGCAATTACAGGTATGTGCCACCATGCCTGGCTGATTTCGTATTTTTAGTAAAGATGGGGTTTCTCCATGTTGGTCAGGCTGGTCTCAAACTCCCAACCTTAGGCGATCCACCCACCTCAGCCTCCCAAAGTGCTGGGATTATAGGCATGAGCCACTGTGCCTGGCTACGTTCTACCTTTTTCAAGTCTGTGGTGTCTTGGTGCCTTAGAGGAAGAGCCTAGAATGTTTTCTGGATTGTGTCTGCGATGACTGAATGATTCATCTGGCAGCAGTAAAACAAGGTCACTTCAGGAGCTATTAGCAAGCAATTCATGCATTTCAATAATTCCAAGAGCCAATTTGTTAAATGACTCAGGATAAATTCAGATCACCAGCAGGTTATACTCAGAACATTTTCCCTCTGGGCTGAGTGAGCCTTCCAAGAATGTAGTTAATAAGGAGCTGCCCGAATCAGCCAATCCCGGCTCTGTGTTGCCTCCCTGAGTACTGGAGCTAATTAATTGCCTAATAAACAATTAGTTTTCTCAAATATTCCTTACCTACACCGAACGTAGTAAAAGGAATCACTTGCATCTTTTGTTGTTTACTTCAATCAACAAATATTTATTGAGAAAAATAAAGCCACTTCAGTTGTGACAACAGTAACATAGCTGGCAAAAGGATAAAAGGGAACATAGCTCTCAGAGGAGTCATAGCAGGCAAATGAAGGTTAGATGACAGTAGGAAGAATAACATACATATGCGTAGCACTTCACAAATCATGCCACATAGATTTAGCTTCTTTGAACGTCACAACAACCTTCTGAGGTGTTATTATTCCCTGTTTTTTAGGTGAGAAACTGCTTTAAAGATTTCAGGCTGGGAGCAGTGGGTCAGGCCTATAATTCCCACACTTTGGGAGGCCAAAGTGGGAGGATCACCTGAGGTGAGGAGTTCTAGACCACCCTGGCCAACATGCTGAAACCTCGTCTCTGCTAAAAATACAAAATTTAGCTGGGTGTGATGGCGGGAACCTGTAATCCCAGCTACTCGGGAAATAAGGCAAAAGAATCGCTTAAACTCAGGATGCAGATGTTGCAGTGTGCCCAGATCGTGCCATTGCACTCCAGTCTGAGCTATAAGAGCAAAACTCGAGCCGGGCGCGGTGGCTCACGCCTGTAATCCCAGCACTTTGGGAGGCCGAGGCGGGTGGATCACAAGGTCAAGAGATCGAGACCATCCTGGTCAACATGGTGAAACCCCGTCTCTACTAAAAATACAAAAAATAAACTGGGCATGGTGGTGCGTGCCTGTAATCCCAGCTGCTCAGGAGGCTGAGGCAGGAGAGTTGTCTGAACCTAGGAGGCGGAGGTTGCGGTGAGCCGAGATTTCGCCATTGCACTCCAGCCTGGGTAACAAGAGCGAAACTCTACCTCAAAAAAAAAAAAAAAAAAAAGAGCAAAACTCAATCTCAACAGAAAGAGGATTTCAGTGACTTATCTAAGGTGAGTAGTTTTTCCCCAAATGTGCACCACTTTTCGATTTTCCAATAATTATACTTCTGGTCGTAGTATGTTACATGCATAGATTGGGAAGCATCCCATCCAGGCTTAGTTCAGCACTTACTTTTTGCTCCAGCAACTGGAGAGAATTGCAGATAGGCTCAAAGGAGAGAGTGTATTTTCCACCATGCCTCCACTAGGTGGCAGTGAGGGCCACCACTAGAGAAAAGCGTGTGTCACTATAGGGGTGTTGTGGCTTTAGGTGGTCCAGACAAAACAGGAAAGCAGCAAAGCAACTGCTATTCCTTTCAAGTTGAAACTGGATTCATGTGTACATGCATGTGTGCACACGTAGGTGTTTGCAGTGCAGAGGAACTGAAGAATTAACCTGTTACTTGCACAGTATGGAGTGTTTCATACTGCTGATGGGTAGGAACAGAGAGAAAGACTGATATTTGGCACTTGAATACTATACTGTATCATCTTAGCCCATGTCAGCAATCTCATCCCTGGATTTTAGATATCTGGGTGGGTATGTTGTGCTAAGATGATCATTGTCATTCAGGGTAAAATCTATTGCTGTCTCAGGAGGAAAGATGAATGCATTCAGTGCATTAATGTCAATGGTTGTGCTGACGCTGTTGTCTTTCTTTTCCAGTTTACCACAATGGATTAGCTGACAGAGAGAAATGCAACTTGCAGTATCATTTGGGTACAGGAATTTTATATGCACTCAATTGTTGAAGGGATTGAAGACACCTTGATGATTTCCCAGTTTATTAGTAATCAGTGTGACTAGAGATTACTTGCAGATTTCAACCATTGGATAAAAAATTAGAGTTCCCAGTTAGAGCATTCTGTATCAGAAAATATAAAGGCTCATGAAGAGTCAGAACCCATCTTTCCCATAGAATGATGGTGTCAGATGCCATCCTAAAACTTCTGAGGGTTAGCAGAGAATATGTTCCATTTACCCACAGACTCTGGGCATACTCTACCCCTATTTATAAAATCACAGCTCCCATCAGTTCCAAGAGGGTCCTATTCACGTTGACTCCTTCTCTATTGGAGGCAACTGCTTTTCTTCAGGGACTGGGGGTAGATCAGGTGCTTTCTGCCCACACCTGGCTACTGTGAAGCGATTCATGTGAAGAGCTTCTTCATACCCTGGGAGGGTGTCCGAAGGGGAGGGCAGTTGGCCCAGGGAGCTGTGGGAGTGAGCCACAGCCAGGATCCTCCGAGCTGCAGGGCCAAACACCGACTGCAGAGCTGTGAAGAAAGAAGGAACAGCGCTAAGGAACTAAGGGAAATAGGGCACCCTCAGACAGCAGAGACTTACTTCTTCTTTACACTCACTGTTTCTTCCCCTTTTTTTTTTTTTTTTTTTTTTTTTTTTTGAGATGGAGTCTCCCTCTGTCACCCAGGCTGCAGTGCAGTGGCATGATCTCAGGTCACTGCAACCTCGGCCTCCCAGGTTCAGGTGATTCTCCTGCCTCAGCCTCCCGGGTAGCTGGGATTACAAGCGCCCACCACTGCACCCAGCTAATTTTTATATTTTTAGTAGAGACGGGGTTTCACCTTGTTGGCCAGGCTGATCTCAGACTCCTGATCTGGTGATCCACCCACCTCGGCCTCCCAAAGTGCTGGGATTACAGGCATGAGCCACCATGCCTGACCCTATCCCTTCTTTTTTTTTTTTTTTTTTTTTTTTTGGTAGAGATGGAGTCTCACTCTGCCACCCAGGCTGGAGTGCAGTGGCAGGATCTTGGCTCACTGCAGCCTCTGCCTCCCCGGTTCAAGCAATTCTTCTATCTCGGCCTCCCCAGTAGCTGGAGCTACAGGTACTGGCCACCAAGCCTGCCTAATCTTTTTTGTATTTTAGTAGAGACAGGATTTCACTGTGTTGCCCAGGCTGGTCTCAGACTCCTGAGCTCAGGCAATCTGCCTACCTTGGCCTCCCAGAGTGCTAGGATTACAGGCGTGGGCCACTGTGCCTGGCCTGTCCCTTCATTTTTAACAAGTGTTCAAACTCATTTTTCCTCCTTGCTACAAACTTTATGAATATCTTGGAAGCATGTTTACAACCCAGCTTCCTGCCCTGCTGGAAGGACCTGTTTTCTCTGGTATCCTCAAATAATCTAAAGAATGGTCCTGCATCTCAACCCTGCCCTTTCCCCTTTCAGACATAGATCCCCTTCCCCCAGTCCCGTACACTATAGACTCTTTAGAAATACTTATTTTTACCTTATCTATTTTCTTTTCTTTTCTTTCTTTCTTTCTTTCTTTTTTTTTTTCGAGACAGAGTCTCTGTCTGTTGCTCAGGCAGGAGTGCAGTGGCACAATCTCAGCTCACTGCAACCTCCACCTCCCAGGTTCAAGCAATTCTCTCCTGCTTCAGCCTCTCAAGTAGCTGGGATTACAGGCATGTGCCACCATGCCTGGTGTTTTTGTGATTTTAGTAGAGACAGGGTTTCACTATGTTGGCCAGACTGGTCGAGATCTCCTGATCTCAAATGACCCACCCACCTTGGCCTCCCAAAGTCTGGGATTACAGGCGTGAGTCACTGCACCGAGCCAGTTTTCGTAGTTTTAGTAGAGACGAGGTTTCACCATGTTGACCAGGTTGGCCTTGAACTCCTGACTTCAAGTAAGCCACCTGCCTCAGCCTCCCAAAGTGCTGGGATTACAAGCGTGAGCCACTGTGCCCAGCCATCATTCTCTTTTCAAAATAAATATCCATGTTTTGCCAGCTGGTGTTCTGCCAGCTCCTCAATTTTAGGAAAGAACACAGTCCAGGCAAGGTGGCTCATACTTGCAATCCCAGCACTTTGGGAGGCAGAGGCAGGTAGGTTGTGAGGTCAGGAATTTGAGACCAGCTTGGCCAACATGGTGAAACCTTGTATCTATGAAGAATACAAAAAAAAAAAAAAAAAAAAATGCTGGGCATGGTGGTGGCCGCTTGTAATTTCAGCAAATCAGGAGGCTGAGGCATGAGAATCGCTTGAACCTGGGAGGCAGAGGTTGCAGTGAGCTGAGATCCCACCACTGCACTCCAGCCTGAGCAACGAAGGGAGACTCTGTCTCAAAAAACAAAAAAAAGTAACAATTTTGACTGGACACGGAGGCTCACGCCTATAATCCCAGCACTTTGGGAGGCTGAGGCAGGTGGATCACGATGTCAGGAGTTCAAGACCAGCGTGGCTAAGATGGGGAAACCCCATCTCTACTAAAAATACAAAAAATAGCCAGGCATTGTGGTGGGCACCTGTAATCTCAGCTACTCAGGAGGCTGAGGCAGAGAATTGCTTGAACCTAGGAGGTGGAGGTTGCAGTAAGCTGAGATCGTGCCACTGTACTCCAGCCTGGGCAACAACGTGAGACTTAATCTAAAAAAGAAAAAAAAAGAACATAATGGAAAGAACAGAACCTCAGGAGAAAAGAGAAAGTGTCTTATAATTATTGAGAAAATGTTAAGGCTAAAATTTAGTGTATCAAGACTCGAAGAATAAAGAACTGAAAGTATATGCCATTAATTTCTTTAAAAATATAAAATAGTACAGATAATAGCAAAAGCAGGTTTCCACAAAATTCAAGACATTTTGATAAAGGGATCTGTTTGGAGTTCAAAATCGCTTTTAGCAAAGTAACTGCTTAGAAACTGGCTAATTCTTCCTGTTGGATATTTCCAGTAGCCTCCCATACTTCACTTCTTTCTTTATCATCAGCCAGACAGATCCTTCAGAACACAGCTTCAGTGAGATCCCAGGTCACTGCACCATCAGGCTTCTGGACATTGAAACTATTGTGAGTCCTGGGATCTTTAATACCACTCCATCAGTGTTCCACGTCTTCACACCCTTTGCATTATTCATTTAAATTGGGTCTTTCTCTCAGGTTTTTAAAAGGTCAGTGTACTCACACGTGATAGTGCTCTGGAGAGTGCTGTCCTGATCGAAAGCAATGACGGTGACTTCACAGGGTGGTGGGCCCCCATCATCCCCATTTTGCTGGCGACTCAGACAGCAGCAGCGGAAGCACAGGGACGTCAGGCCACACAGGAGAAGCAGCGCGCCAATTACCACCAGCAACCTGCAAGAGCCCATGGGGCCAGTGGGAGTTCTGGGATTGGGTTTTTTCCTAGTTCTGCTGTAACCAGTCTTCAATGTCTGTGTTTTGATTCTTGTTTGAATATTTTATAGAATAATTAAAATATTTTAATTTATAATTTTAATTTCAAAGCTTTTGCTTTACATATATACCTCCTTATTTTGTCAGCTGGAGTAAGTCAATTCACTAGAACAAATAATAAGATATTTAAGGGAGTTTGGGGAGACTGCTTTTTTTTTTTCTTTTTTGAGACAGTAGCTCTCTCTGTTGCCCAGGCTGGAATGCAGTGGCACAATCTCAGCCTACTGAGTAGCCAGTACTATAGGCACATGCCACCACACTTGACTAATTTGTGTGTGTGTGTGTGTGTGTGTGTGTGTATGTGTGTGTGTATTTTTAATAGAGATAGGGTTTCACTATGTTGCTCAGGCTGGTCTCAAACTCCTGCCTTCAAAGCAATCTGCCTGTCTTGGCCTCCCAAAGTGCTGGGAATACAGGCGTGAGCTACCACACCTGGTCAGGGTCTGCCTTTTGATTCACTAAAGTAATCTCCTTTGTAGAGATCTTTCTAGGAAGACTCCAAGGGAAGGACACAATAATGTTTTGATGTTTGTGGAGGAGATGGTATAGAAAAAGGAATTTCTGGCCGGGCGTGGCGGCTCACGCCTGCAATCCCAGCACTTTGGGAGTCCGAGATGGAGAGATCACGAGGTCAAGAGTTTGAGACCAGTCTGACCAGCATAGTGAAACCCCGTGTCTACTAAAAAGACAAAAATTAGCTGGACGTGGTGGTGCCTACCTGTAATCCCAGCTACTCAGGAGGCTGAGGCAGGAGAATCACTTGAACCCGGGAGGCGGAGGTTGCAGTGAGCTGAGATTGCACTACTGCACTCCAAGCCAGACTCCATCTCAAAAAAAAAAAAGAAAGAAAGAAAGAAAGAAAGAAAGAAAGAAAGAAAAAAAGAAAAGACAAAGGAAATCCTGACATATTGTCACATAGGTAGTGATGAAATAATGAAATCTTACTCCATGAGATGCTAAGTAAGTAGGCAGGCTGTCATTTTTAATTGCCTTAAGGATTACAGTGTCTTTCTGAGTATTATAAGTGAAACTTACCATATATACCAGAGATGTACCCAGTCTGTGGTTAGGCAACTATAAAGAAAGAATAAAGTTTTCCACATTAAAAATATAGTCAATCCTTGTTATAACTCCAGACTCAGAAATATGAGTTATAATATGATGTGATACCTAGTTATAATAAAAGCACCGTGAGTTATGTTGTTAAAATTCAATGTAGCTAGCTGAATGTTTTGCCAAATGATAAGCTTTAAATAGTACTTCATAATATAGATGGCACTGTGCAAGTCATTTTGTAAATTACTATAAAACAAGCTAAAGTAGTGATCATTAGAAGTGTTCATAGAAAACGTATCTGTGCCTATTGTAAACACTGATGATAAAAATTACCAAGAAAACACTTGGAATGCAAGTTTACAAAGAGTGACTTTGAAAATGGATGTGAAAGTTAAGGCTTGTGTATATTTGAGGTCAGTGAAATGTAAACATAAAGAAAATTTCAGTTAGGAATAAGGAAAGCCATACAGTCACATTTGTAATTTATCTTTTGCAAGCTGTTGCAACGCTCCCACTGAGAATGTAGGAAGAAAGAAATTTAGTTTCTTCCTGCTGTACTCTCCCAACACTCTGACACCAGATGCGGCTGGCTGGGGATTTCCCCACACACCACAAGCAAGCAATCTTTCAGAAACCGACGACAGCTGAGCGTCCTCTAACCCAATTCAGTTCCAACATTACCTGCCTGGAGATAGTATCAGATCCCACAGGGTGAGGGCTCAGTCCCTAAGATTGCTCCCCAGAATTCTGATGCCAATCACGAGTTTTTTGGCTTCTGACCTACTGGCTATAAATTGGGGGTTCCATGACTCCCCTCTTGTGGTTGCATTAATTTGTTAGAGCAGCTCACAGAACTCAGGGAAACACTTACTTACATCTACAGTTTATTACAAAGAATATTACCAAGGATGCAGATGAAGAGATGCATAGGGCAAAGCACGTGGGAAGGGGCACGGAGCTTCCATGCCTGCCGAGTGCACCACCCTCCAGAAACCTCTGCCTGTTCAGCTGTACAGAAACTCTCCAAATCCATCCTTTGGGATTTTTATGAAAGCCTCATTACGTAGGCATGATTGATTAAATCACTGGCCGTTGATGGTCAACTTAACCTTCAGCCCCTTTACTTTCCCTGGATGTTGAGGGGTGGGGCTTTAAGGATTCTGCCTTGGTCTTTCCAATGACCAGTCCCATCCTGAATCTACCTAGGAGCTGCCAGCCACCAGGCAACTAATTGGCATGCAAAATGATACTTCTTACTTTGGGGACTCCAGGAATTGTAGAAGTTGTATGCTAGGAGATAGGGGCAAAACCAAACATACATTTCACAGTATCACACCCACCATAAAGAGTACCCTAATTTTCCACATCCAGGATCAAAACTAATAGGCATATCCACTGAGGCCAAACAGGAAGAGGGAAAAAATAGAAACCGACTTTACCATGATAAAAGCTAAATTAATACTCAGAGTTCACTATGGCAATTGTAAATTTCTCTGTAAGAATGAAAAAAAAAATGGGATTGTATGGAAGAAGGAGTATAAGATAAGGTCAGGAATTGGAGGATGAAGAGAGGCAAAGTATTTGTGTATCTTCGAAGAACAGTAAATTTTGTCGTTTAGTAATTCTTGACTACTGAAATCTAGTGAATCTATTTCTATTCTCTGGTCACACATTTATAGAAAATTTAGTTTGTTTTTTTTTCACTGAACAAGGGCGCCTCTTGGTTTTCCCACATTTCTTACTTGTTGAAAACTCCTCTAGTTCTAATTAGATTCTGGTTTATAGGAAAGGGTTCTTTCTGTGGTGGAAGATGTGCAAAACCCCAGACAGCAGGTATCAGGTAGTCAACACCCAATGTGCATGTGACAGGTAATCAAGGCCATCACCAATTTCTCTGGGTTTAACAGACCTGGCTATTGAGAAACCCTTCCCATGGCTAAATATGTATTTTTCTTCATTCTGAACAAGTTTTTATTCAAAGTTCCCCTACTTTTTAAAATGGTTATTTTATAGTTTATTTATTTATTTATTTATTTATTTTAAGACGGGGTTTCATTCACCATGTTGGTCAGGCTGGTCTTGAACTACGGACTTCAGGTGATCTGCCTGCCTTGGTCTCCAAAGTGCTTGGATTACAGGTGTGAGCCACCACACCTGGCCAGTTTCTTTATTTTTTATTTTATTTTATTTTATTTTTGAGATGGAGTCCCGCCTTCTCTCGCGCAGGCTGGAGTGTAGTGGTGTGATCTCGGCTCACTGCAACCTCCGCTTCCTGGGTTCAGGCAATTCTCCTGCCTCAGCCTCCTGAGTAGCTGGGATTACAGGTGTGCACCACCACGCCCAGCTAATTTTTGTATTTTTAGTAGAGACGGGGTTTCACCATGTTGATCAGGGTGGTCTCGATCTCTTGACTTCATGATCTGCCCACCTTGGCCTCCCAAAGTGCTGGGATTACAGGCATGAGCCACCGTGCCCAGCCTATAGTTCCTTTAAGTGGAAAGTCCCTTTTGCATTGTTAACTTCATGTCCTCTGTGTCTAAATAAGACCTAAATGTGACAGGCTTCCATTAGTCGATAACTACATCAAAGTGATAGCTAAATGAAGTCTGCAATAAATGCTAACATGCCATAAAAACTAGAAAACACTCGCCCAATTTAAAGTAGTAATGTTACGTTGGAAATCATCCAAATATATATGCCAGTGACTAGATACAAAACCCAGTCTGTCCTGGTGAGTCACTGACAAACAGGGCTAAGGAAGTCTTTTGCAAGTCCTATGACTATATAAATTGAGATTAATTGTGCTGCTTTGATGGGAAGATTGGCTTTGGAGAAAACGGTGCTGTCAGCAGTGTTATTTTGAGTGCTTAGGATGAGACAAACACATGTCTTTATTTTGTGATAATCCATCTATGAGATCTATTACTTAAGGAAAAAAAAAAAAAAAAAAAGGAAGTCATAGTTGTCTAGTGACCTCTTGACCCTCTTTTGGGGGTAGTGATGTTTTTGTCTGTCGCTCCATCCTCCCAGCTTAAATTCTCAGACACTTACTGTTCAGGGTTGCCACAGATTTCCTCGCATCTTGTCCCAGAAAGCTGTAGAAAGAGAAATTGTCTTATACAGGGAAACTGTCTTGTCTGCTGTGTTTAGCTGCCTGCCAATAATCTCTCATGGTTGTGCTGTGTTCGATGAATGATTAAGAAGGTCACAGTCACAGGGGCAGTCTATTTAGAACTGCTATTTTCATGTCCCCCATACCTGCCTGCCTTTGTACTTGAGGTAAGGGAAACTCGAACAAATATCTCATCTGCTGTTTCGGTGGTGGGTAACCATCACCACCTTTGTGGATGAGAGGCAGCCGTTTACATTAATGTGTTTGTAGTAGAAAATATCTGTCCCTTGGGATATTGCTGTTGTCCTCGCAATTCCTGCCCAGTTGAATTCTATACCACTGCTCTTTTTTATCCTCTTACTCTGACAATGACCATACAAAAGAAGAGGAGGAAAGCAAGGGTGCCAGTGGGGCAGAGGGTCTTATTTATTGAATAGCTACTAGATACCAGTCAGAATACTAAGAACTCTTTTTTTTTTTTTCAGTATTGCTCTGTCCCCCAGGCTGGAGTGCAGTGGCATGATCTCATCTCATTGCAACCTTCACTTCCCAAGTTCAAGCAATTCTGTTGCCTCAACCTCCCAAGTAGCTGGGACTATAGGTGCATGCCACCACACCCGGCTAATTTTTGTATTTTTAGTAGAGATGGAGTTTCACCATGTTGACCAGGCTAATCTCGAACACCTGACCTCAAGTGATCCACCTGCCTCAGCCTCCCAAAGTGCTGCTGGGATTACAGGTGTGAGCCACCGCACCTGGCTATAAACTCTTAATATTTTATAACATTTAATCACAACAACCCTCTTGGTGGCTATATTTAACCTTATCTTGAAAGGTTAAGGAACTAAGGCACAGAGTTTTAAGAAATGTGATCAAATGTACACACCTATTGATGTAGACAGAACTCAAATCAAACTCTGTCATCGATATGTATTGAATGAATTAACAGCACTGGGGACAAAGTTGCTCCAACGATCCCTTGGCATGGCTATCAAGTCCCTTCTACTACTCCTAAAAAAAGAGTTCACTCCTTCTACCTGATGTTTTAGGTGACTTCCTCTTTCAAAAATCCATTTAAGGCTGGGTGCGGTGGTTCACACCTGTAATCCACCACTTTGGGAGGCTGAGGCAGGTGGATCACTTGAAGTCAGGAGTTCGAGACCAGCCTGACCGACATAGTGAAACCCTGTCTCTACTAAAAAAGTACAAAATTAGCCAGGTGTGGTGGCACATGCCTGTAATCCCAGCTACCTGGGAGGCTGAAGCAGTAGAATCACTTGAACCTGGGAGGCAGGGGTTGCAGTGAGCCAAGATTGTGCCATTGCACTCCAGCTTGGGCAAAAAGAGCAGAACTCCTTTTTGAAAACAACAACAAACCGGTTAAGTAAACTCAATTCTATAAGCTGCTTCTGTCTTCTAATAACTTGAGTGATCTGACATTTCAGGAGAGCAACCACAAAGACCCTTAGAAAAGAGACAGATTCATAAGTATTGGGAGTTTGTGGTGGGCAGTGAAGGGGTAAAGAGACACACATACTCAAGACGTATCAGGTGAGAAGGATCTGCAAAAGGATTAACAGCCAGACTTTACAGATAACACTTGGGAAGCTGGCACAGTGACTCACGCCTGTAATCTCAGTACTTTGGGAGGCCGAGGTGGGTGGATCATCTGAGGTCAGGAGTTCAAGAGCAGCCTGGCCAACATGATGAAACCCCATCTTAAAAAAAAAAAAAAAAATTGGGAAACCCCTGTTTGAGTTTTCATTTAAAAGAGATGGCCACTAAGGATGACAAAGTGTGTTTCCTCCACCCAACCCTGGAACTTTCTTTTGCTTTCTTCAGTAAAAGCAAGAGAAGCTTCAAGTGATCAGCAGAGAAAATGCCACTTTTCAGGTTTGTTGCAAAGAGCAAAGAAAGGAACAATGAAGGGAAGAGAAGGCAAAGGAAGTGAAGAGGCAACAAAAAGAAAATATCAGAAAAAAATGGATTTTCAGTTACCAATTTAACAGGTCAATTTAACAGGAAGAAAAACATACAGCCCACTCTGGACAGGGGCCATACAGGAACCTGACACTATCCAGTTTTCTTGATTTGTTCTCCTTCTTGCTAGATGACATAGCTCTATTAACTTCCCTGGGACACTTGTTTAAAATCCCTCAGTCCAATGACCCTTTTCTCCACGAACGGATTACTCAGAGACTTCTGATTCATTGTGGGGCTCAAAATATTTTCTCCCTCTATTATTTCTAGACTAGAGGCACCTAAACTGCTAGAATGGGATAAGAGCTGATGTGGTAAATGTTGTTTAGGGGAATTACATGCCTAGTTTTCATGATTTTTTGGGATTTTGAGGGATGAGTGATAAGATGCTAAAAGAGAGAAATACGCTTCAGTGGCACTTCTAAAGTGCCACAGCTATCCTGCTTGTTTCCATGCTCATTCTAATTTCTGTCCCCCCATTCCTGGTCATTGCCATCAGTCACACAAGCATCTATACAGTCTCAGAATACTAACAAAACTTCATAGTTATTCATTCCCCTACTACCCTCTGGGTTCTGTATATGTCTCCCCACCCCGCAGTCCATTTCCTTTCAGATTCTTCTGAGAATTGATTAATCTGTGGAAAAGGACTATCTTTCTGCCTTTTCATCACTGAACTCACCAAGATGAAATGCACCAGGGCAGAGGCTGCCACGACGTGAACTCGGACTCCCATCGGGCTGAATTCCGGCTTCTTCAGAATCTTGCACTGGGCATCCATTGCCTCCTTTCCGTGCTCTGTGCCATATGAGATTTCTTGACTGAGAATTCTCAAGGAGAGAAAGTGTTCTCAGCGATTTATCAGCTTTTCACTCTCTCTTTCTCCATCTTCTCTTCTTCTCTCTGGCTGTTACTGTCTATGGCCTTTGCCTCCCCTTTTGATTTCCTGGTTTTCTTCTCTATTCTTATTACTATTTCTATGGCCCCCACATTTGCTACCTTTTGCCTTCTTTCTTTCCTTTATATTATTAATTCTTTCTACATCTCTAAGTTTCTTTCTCCCACTGCTCCCAAAAAGAAGACATTCAAACAGGACATATGTGTCCTCTGAATGAGGTATTTTTCTAGACAGCGATGAAAATCTTGGCTTTGAGGATGGTCAAAGGCAGATTGCTGGTGACCAAATATGTTCTTTTCTTCATCAGAAAACTGGTAATACTCTTAATCCTTCACCAGAGCACTCCAGGGTGACTGTTGCAGGGTGAAAGTCACCCTGCTAATCTCCTTTCTTCTCTCCCCATGTGATTAACAACCCCTTCTTGCTCTTTGAAACCCTCCCCTTCACTACGTTGATAATCAACTCTCCTGGTTCTGGGTCATTTATCCTTAATCATTGGGGTAAGACTGAGAGGTTGCCAAATGAACAGAAAAGCCATCTCATCTCCTGAGAAAACAGATCTGAAGATGAGAAATCGAGTTGGAAGATTAGAATTTTCATGTGTTGTCAGTGATACCTTCCTCCACCCTGACTTCAATTCCCATTGAAATAGATAAGTGAGAAAGACATTATTTTAAAACCAATTTTTTAAAAAACAAATATATAGGCTTCTTTGTTTCTTTCTTGTCTTGTTCCTTTCTCTCTCTCTCTTTGGTAAAGTAGTGATGCAATTGAGAAATGTCTTGCCACTCACGAAAACAAAACCTAAGGTCAGAGTAAAAACAGGCACCCATGCAAGAGCATAGAATACTCATAATAAACAAATCTATAGAAACAAATGGGGCTGGATGCCCTGGCTCACACCTGTAATCCCAGCACTTTGGGAGGCCAAGGCTGACTGATAACTTCAGGTCAGGAGTTTGAGACAAGCCTGGACAACAAACATGGTGAAACCCTGTCTCTACTAAAAATGCAAAAAGTAGCTGGGTGTCATAGTGGGTGCCTGTAATCCCAGCTACTCAGGAGGCTGAGGCAGGAGGATCGCTTGAACCTGGAAGGCAGAGGTTGCAGTAAGCCGAGATAGCACCACTGCACTCCAGCCTGGGTGGCAGAGTGAGAATCTACCTAAAACAAAACAAAACCAAACAAAACAAAGGAATACTGTAAGAATGATTTGTACTTAAATAGGTGATCTTTTACTTAATACCAAATATTTCATAAGAAAATTATTATTATTATTATTATTATTAGAGACGGAATCTCGCTCAGTTGCCAGGCTGGAGTGCAGTGGTGCGATCTTGGCTCACTGCAGCCTCTCCCTCCTGGGTTCAAGCAATGCTCCTGCCTCAGCATCTTGAGTAGCTGAGATTACAGGTGCCCGCCATGACACTCAGCTAATTTTTGTATTTTTAGTAAAGACAATGTTTCACCATGTTGGCCAGGCTGGCATAAGAAAATTAGATGTTAGTTTACAGTGATATGACTATCTCATAAGAATGGAATAAAAACTCATTTCAGAGCCTTTCCAGCTCAGTAAATCTAATTATTCTGAGTGATTGTGGGAGGGAGACTCTTGGGTAGGCTGATCATACTCTGAGGGTCCTCACACAGCTCGATGATGGGATATGAGAATGGAAGCTATAAACCGGTTTTGTTCTCAGCTAAGGAAAACAAATACCAAGAGACTGGCCTGGTACAATACTGGTTAATAAAATCTGTCAGTTTCGAAACTGAGCACTGACAGTCTTTTTTTTTTTTTTTTTTTTTTAATTAGGCAATTGGGGTTAGGATGAAGAGTGATTTCTGGATTTCAGTAGAAGACTTGGCAAGGTGGAAGGCATTTTATAGGACAAGGAGAGCGAGCTTTAGTTGACCTTCCACTAAATTATTTTGTAATTTCTCCAGCCCTTAATGTTTCCATTCATAAAACAGGAGTGGAATACCCACCCAACCTGCTTCCGATGTTATTTCCTAGAGAAAGTGCAATAAGAGAAAGGAAGTCATTGTGAATACGATATTTCTATCATGAGTTCCCTGAACATAGGAAACCCATCATGAACCTTTCCCTTCTCTTTTTCTTGTCAGAAAGACAGTAGAGCACCAAGGCTTAAAGTCTAGCCAGGATACCTGGGTTTAAATACCTAGTTTTAGCCGGGCGCGGTGGCTCACGCCTGTAAACCCAGCACTTTGGGAGGTCGAGGCGGGTGGATCACGAGGTCAAGAGATCGAGACCATCCTGATCAACATAGTGAAACCCCGTCTCTACTAAAAATACAAAAAATTAGGTGGGCATGGTGGCGCGTGCCTGTAATCCCAGCTTCTAAGGAGGCTGAGGCAGGAGAATTGCCTGAACCCAGGAGGCGGAGGTTGCGGTGAGCCGAGATTGGCCATTGCACTCCAGCCTGGGTAACAGGAGTGAAACTCCATCTCAAAAAAAAAAAAAAAAAAAAAAAAAAAAAACCTAGTTTTGTCATTTATGAGCTGTGAGATCTTGAGGCAGGTTATTAGATCTCTGTTGGCTCACTTTTATTTTATATAAAATGGGGGTAATAGGCCAGGCATAGTGACTCATGCCTGTAATCCAAGCACTTTGGAGGCCAAGGTGGGCGGATCACCTGAGGTCAGGAATTCAAGACCAGCCTGACCAACATAGTGAAACCTCATCTTAAAAATAAATAAATTAATAAATAAATAAAAATAAATGGGGTAATAATAGTAATATTTACTTGATAGGTTTATACAGATTAAATAAGTTAATACATGTAAAATAAATATGACAATCCTAACTGATACTTTTTGTGTTCACCAAGATTATTTTGATTTTCAGTGAATTTTGCCAGCAACCTTTACTTTCACTATTCTGGATAATTATGGTCCTTTATGCTTCTCTTGTACATACACACACACACACACACACACACACATATATATATATATATATATATTTTAGACAGAGTCTCTCTCTGTCACCAGGCTGGAGTACAGTGGCGTGACCTCAGCTCACTGCAACTTCTGCATCCTGGGATCAAGAGATTCTCCTGCCTCAGCTTCCCAAGTAGCTGGACTACAGGATGAGCCACCACCCCAGCTAATTTTTGTGTTTTTAGTAGAGACCGAGTTTCACCATGTTGGCCAGGATGGTCTCAATCTCTTGAACTTATGATCCACCCACAGCCTCCCAAAGTGCTGGGATTACAGGGGTGAGCCATCGCACCCAGCCTTCTTGTATATTTTTATACCACTCCCTCTCCAGACCACATTTTAGGTTTCTTGATATTCTAATTCTTGAATATTTTCCCTTGCTTGCCTGGCCACCTCTTTCCCCAGCCATGCCAGCCTTTGCCTGCCTAAACAGGTTTCTGGTTAACATGACTCCCCGCTCCCCCTGCACCTTCTAACATGTGATTGCCATTATCTTTTTGCCTTCCAGCTTCCTAACAGGTTTGAACAAAATAGGTCCTGTTAATGATCTCCTTGTGACTTTCCTTTCTTAGAATTACTATTACCCTTTTATTCCCCCCTCATCAGATTAGTCCCTGGAAAAATAAAAGTTGGTTTTTATCCTAATGAATGAGATTATGCCTTGGGGCAGCTTTAACTCTGTCCCTAACCAAGCCTCCATATAAGGAATCATGAAAGAAGAAAGATAATTCAGGCAAGAAGACTGAACAAAGTGCACATTGGACAAGTTCAGAAGGGCAGGTGGCTGGGGTAGAGGAAAATGGTCTCATTACAATCCTACACACTCCTGTGCAGTTCCTTTAAACTTGTGAATCATTAGCTTATACCCAGGTAGTTAAGAACTTGGAGTGGAACCAGTAGAGGGTGCATGTACATCGACCTTTACACCTGTGCTTCAGGGTATTGTTATACAACTGCTGTAACACGTGTAGCCAAAAAATTGCTTACTTCTGGTCCCATTGATTATTCTCCTTTTGACCTTGCCTAAGTCAGGTGGCCACTATGGATTTCTTTTGTCTCTGTGCCTCATTAAAATAGAGACCAGGACTATTCTTACTCTGAGCCATCAATCTCAAACTCTAAGTCAGTGAGTAGGTCCACAGCCCTGACTTCAAAAATAAATAATATAGCAGAAGAAGTTTCATCTTTGCAACCCTTGGGAGATCCCATGGGAAGCGTTTCTATCTGATGAGCCAAGATCACAGCATAGGGATCGAGTGACAGCCTCAAAGGCATTCAAGTCCGTAAAAAGATTAGAGTTAAAAAAAAAAGTTAAACAAGACAGAAGGATTCAGTTTATCCTCGGATGTTTTAGGTTCATAGGCTGTGTAACACATCACCACACGTTATATGAGCAACAATGTAAAACAACATACTTTTATTATCTCAAAGTATCTGTGGGTCAGAAGCATGGACACATCTTAGTTGGGTCCTCTGCTTGTGTCTCACAAGGCTGCAATCAAGGTGTCTGCTGGGCGGCTCATCTGAAGGCTCACCTGGGAAGATTCACTTGTAAGCTCCCTCAGGCAGAATTTATTTCTTTTTGGCTGCAGGACTCATTTAAGCTTGCTTTTAAAAATCTAGACAGGAAGGGGCCGGGTGCGGTGGCTCATGCCTGTAATCCCAGCACTTTGGGAGGCTGAGGTGGGCAGATCGTGAGGTTAAGAGATCGAGGTCATCCTGGCCAACATGGTGAAACCCTGTCTCTATTAAAAATACAAAAATTAGCTGGGCTTGGTGGCATGTGCCTGTAGTCCCAGCTACTAGGGAAGCTGGGGCAAGAGAATTGCTTGAACCCAGGAGGCAGAGGTTGCAGTGAGCCAAGATTGCGCCACTGCAGTCTAGCCTGGTGACAGAGCCAGACTCTATTTAAAAAAAAAAAATCTAGACAGGGAGATAAAGATAGAGATAGGATAGGGAGAGAGACTTTAGCATACTAGTCACTATACCTTACATAAGTGCATATGCATGATCACATGCATTCCAGCATCTCTACTACATTCCAAGTCATAGGTCTCACTTACACTTGAGGGGAAGGATTATACAGGATCAGGAACACCAGGAGGCAGGAATAATGGGAGCCTCCTAAAATTGTTTAAATCTGTCCAGTTATCTGCCACACAAGGATTGTGGAAACTATCCCACCGATCTTTAAAAAGAGGAGAAACACAAACATCTGTCGATGGATAAACAAAGCGTAGCATGTGGTTTATACATACAATGGAATATTAGGCAGACTTAAAAAGGAACAAAATTCTGGTACATGCTACAGCATTGATAATCCTCGAAGACGTAATGCTAAATAAAATAAGTTAGACACAAAAGATCGAATATTGTATGATTCCACCAGTACGAGGTACCTAAAGTAAACCAATTTATAGAGACAAAAAAATAGAATGGTGGTTTCCAAGAGAGGAGAAAGGGATTGGAATTTGTATTAGTCGGACCTGTGCAGAGAGACAGAATCAATAGGAGGTATACATACATAGAAATAGATTTATTATAAGGAATTGGCTTGTATGATTATAGAGTCTGGTAAGTTAAAATCTGCAGTGTAGGCTGCCAGACTCGGCTAGCAAGTGGGGAACTGGGAGAGCTGATGGCTTAGTTCCAGTCCACAGACTGCAGGAGAATTTTTTCTTTCTTTCTCTCTTTCTTTCTTTCTTTCTTTCTTTCTTTCTTTCTTTCTTTCTCTTTTAATAAGATGGGGTTTCACCATGTTGGTCAGGCTGGTCTTGAACTCCCAACCTCAGGTGAACTGCCCACCCTGGCCTCCAATGTGCTTGGATTACAGGCGTGAGCCACCACGCCCGGTCAGGAGAATGCTTTCTTACTTGGGGGAAGGTTAGACTTTTTTTGTTCTTTAGGCCCTCAGCTTTTGAATGAGACCCACCCACGTTATGCAGTAAAATCTGCTTTCCTCTGCTGATTAATATGTTAATCTCATTTAAAAGTATCCTGCCTGGGAACCCCATGGCCCAGTCAAGAAGACACATAAAATTCACCATCACAGGAGTTATTGTTCGGTGGGTACAGAGTTTCAGATGGGGAAGATGGAAAGTTCTGGAGACGGATGGTAGTGATGGCTGCACGACATTGTAAATGTACTTAATGCCACTTAATGGTACACCTAAAAATGGTTAAAATGGTAAACACTTTATGTTATATAATATTCATGACATCTAAAATAACTGAGTCACTGTAGAAATGATAATGTGCCCTTTTCAGTGTGATATCCTTTCAGTATTTTTTAATTCTTTTTTTTTTTTTTTTTTTTTTGAAATGGAATCTTGCTCTGTTGCCCAGGCTGGAGTACGGTGGCACAAACTCAGCTCACTCCAAACTCTGCCTCCCATGTTCAGGCGATCCTCCTGCCTCAACCTCCCAAGTAGCTGGGATTGCAGGCCCACCACCAGGCCCCGCTAACTTTTGTATTTTTAGTGTTTCACCATGTTGGCCAGGCTGGTCTCAAACACCTAACCTCAAGTGATCCACCTGCCACAGCCTCCCCATAGTGCTGGGATTACAGGCATAAGCCACCATGCCCAGCCAACCTTTTCAATTTGGTCTCAGATACTCTGCACATAGTAAAAGGAATACAGGAAACAGGGAAGAGGAGGAAAATGGAATCCTAATTAGACTGTCAATATTGGTGATTTTTTTTTTTTTTTCGATGAAGTCTTGCTCTTTCACCCAGGCTGGAGTGCAGTGGCACGATCTCGGCTCACCACAACCTCCGCCTCCCAGGTTCAAACAATTCTCCTGCTTCAGCCTCTCAAGTAGCTGGGATTACAGGGCATGCCACCACGCACAGTTAATTTTTGTATTTTTAGTAGAGATGGGGTTTCACCATGTTGGACAGGCTGGTCTCAAACTCCTGATGTCATGATCCGCCTGCCTTGGACTTTCAAAGTGCTGGGATTACAGGCGTCAGCCACCGCGCCTGGCCAGTGATTTTTCCTAATAGTTTCCCATATGTTTTATTTATGTATTTATTTTTTCATTCTTCCTTTGTCTATTCTTTCCTTTTCACTTTTTTTCCTGGAGTAATTTAAAGTAAATCCCAGATGTCATATCATTTTGCTTATAAATACTTCAGAAGACATCTCCAATAGATATCTATCTGATTAGAAGGTTGTCAAGGGAAAATAGGTAAGCACTGTATCAGTAAATACATACAGACATACTTAAGGGGCTCCCAAATGAGAGTCTTTGTGACATAAGTTAATCATGGATTTGACTGAAATACATTATTTGATGTGTAATTTAACTGTGCTGAATATTACTAGAATATTAATAACTGTTATTTATTAGGTTCTTATTATGCTCCAAGTACAAAGCTTGTCATTTTTACCCAGCATGTCATTTGAATTCCTGTAGCAATGTTATCAGGTAGACATTATACCTAAATTTTTAGACAAAGACATAGATTCAAAGTATTAAGATTTCCCAAGATTGTAGACTAAAAGAAAGTATTGAAACCAGCTCTTTCTAGTTTGAGAGTGTCCTCTGCTGCTATGTTACAGTGGCACTGTGTTTAACAGCCCCAATTAAATTCTAAAGTTACCCAGGACACCATTGCTGGAATGGGAGACATATGTGATTCACCCCAATATTCTCAGATCTGTAGCCAAATAAAACAGTGAAAATTTAAAAAGAATGTATGTGATCTGTAAAAGACACCATATAGAAACAGTCTGCTAAGTGAAATTAACAAACAAATACAAACTTTGGAATCAAATATTCTGGCCCAAAATTCTGACACATTTTTCACAAATGTAGTGTGATTTACTCTTTGAATTTCAGTTTCTATATCTGAAGAGTGGCTACAATGTCTCTCCTTTAATGCTCATGAAAGAGACAGTTTTCCCTTTCATAAATTACTTAGCGAAATATCCTGAAACACTATCAGAATCACCACTTTCTCTGCCTGCAATATACGTAACACAACAATTTTCGTCAGCGAACTTCCCAATATGAAGCAAAGCATCTCCTTCCTCCTACCAATGATTGAGTCATTCTTCTATTAGATAACAGTAGCTATTTAAATACTTCAGCAGAAGCTCACATATTTTTAGTTTGTTGAAGTTCGTGACTGCTGCACTCTCTCTTTCTTGGCTTGACTTTGGAAATGACTTTTGATGACCTAAAGATCAAGACTATGAAGGACCACCCTGATGAGAAGTCAAATGGAAAAAAAGCTAAAGGTACTAGGGATGGGATAATGTGTACAGGGACAGAATCCCAGTGTTAGCCCCAAATGTAAATTCATCGAAGAATGGAATTAGAAAGCTAAACACCCAAGTATGGGAAAATAGAATGAATACCATTTGCTTAAAAGAAAAACAAGTAGGCTATAATAATGATGATGATGATGACAACTTATTTATAACAATTTATACTGAATATTTACTATAGGTTATTCTCTATGCTATTCACTTTAAGAGTATTATTTCTCGGAATCTTTACAAAAACTACTTTGAGATTGGCAGTATTACTATCTCCCTTTTACAGAGAGCTAGCTAGGCATCAAGAGAACAACATCATATTACCCAGTTTTATGGAGCTAATAAGCAGTAGAGCTAGGACTTTACCACAAACTCCCATTTATCCAGAATTCAATACATCAGGGGTTCGGGAAACAAATTTATCTGGTGTATACAATGATAATTTCTTAGGCATACAAAAACCTGAAGTACTTCATGAATTATGCAGCCAAAGTCAATGATATTTAGTACAGTTTAGCATAAGTTACGTTTTGTTGTTTACTACTGCTTTGAAAAAACGTTAGTTCTGTTTGACACATGCAGTAAATTAAATTGCATTGGTATAAATTAATTCATAATCTCAATTCCACAGACAATCTGGATAAATTGCCTCTTAGTCTAGATCTATTTGGAGGAAAATGAACAGAATATAAGGAGAGAAAGACAGACAAGTATTATCAGAACTTTGGATAAAGAAATTTCAAATTACATTTCCAAAAACAACACAGAAATCTCTCTCAATAGGGAACATAGGTGTGAGCATGGAGTGATTTAACATTTGAGCAAATAAACTTAATTGGTATAAAAACAGTGCTGGCATTTACAGGTAAAACCAGAAGAGAACAATAGTCATTTGTTTATTCACTCACTCATTATTTGTGTAGTAAATATTGAGGGCCTGAATTTTACTATAATCATGAGATTGATTCTTCTTTCGGAATCTTGGTAAGATCAGGTACCTACTGCAAAGAATTAGATTGCTTTCTGATTAGAAAATCACTAGAAGGGGCAGCAGTTGGATTAATGGTCTCTGCCTTCCAAGGACACAGGACAAAAGGGAATCTACAGAAAAAGGGAACGTGCCTTTCTGCACAGGATCCTGTGACTCTTTTTCCTCTAAAAATTTAGTTTTTCATTATTTAAGACTGACATGGCCGGGCACGGTGACGCACACCTCTAATTTCAGCAGTTTGAGAAGCTGAGCCTCGTGGGTCATGAGGTCAGGAGTTCAAGATCAGCTTGACCAAGGTGGGAGAAACCCCATCTCTACTAAAAATACAAAAACTAGCAGGGCATGCTGGCATGTGTTGGTAATTCCAGTTACTCAGGATGCTGAAGCAGGAGAATCACTTGCACCTGGGAGGCACAGGTTGCAGTGAGCCGAGATTGTGCCACTGCACTCCAAACTGGGCGACAGAGTGAAACTCCATTTAAAAATAAATAAATAAATAAAAAGAGTGTAGGCCGGGTGCGGTGGCTTAAGCCTGTAATCCCAGCACTTTGGGAGGCCGAGGCAGGTGGATCACGAGGTCAAGAGATCGAGACCATCCTGGTCAACATGGTGAAACCCCGTCTCTACTAAAAATACAAAAATTAGCTGGGCATGGTGGTGCACGCCTGTAGTCCCAGCTACTAGGGAGGCTGAGGCAGGAGAATTGCTTGAACCCAGGAGGCGGAAGTTGCGGTGAGCCGAGATCATGCCATTGCACTCCAGCCTGGGTAACAAGAGCGAAACCCCGTCTCAAAAAAAAAAAAAAAAAAAAAAAAAAAAGAGTGATGGGGGTATCTGACGTCCTATAATGTGGAATGAACACTGACCAGAGAGTTGAAAGACTGGTTGAAAGATTTACACAGAGCTATTTGCCCCTGAGGCTAGAATTAGGCAATTATTTGCAAGAGACACAGCTATCATCTATAGTTTCTCTGGTAGCTTGCCACACACACTCTAGAAGCCAGTAAGTATTGAATCAGAGGATGAACCATATTTATTCCTGTCAAGTTTCTATCTTCTTTTTATCATTTGTGGAGTCTAACACAGTACCTTTGATACATGAAAATTTGAATATATCTGACCACTGCTTGACTTGGATTATTATACATTCACATTGGAAATTGTATTATAATGTTTCAAGTCAAGTAGCTACTGACAATTAGACTAAAGACTTATTTTTGGGATTTAGCATCTGTGTGATCTTAAGCAAGTTACTAAACCTTTCATTCTCCTTATTTGCATACAGAGGATGTTATCAGTGCCTTATTTGTTTATCTCAGAAGGTGAGGAAACCAAATACATTATATGGAATGATTTTTTACAAAACCAGTAATATCTGTGGGTGTTTCTTTTGTGTGTGTGTGTGGTGGAACACATAATTGGTTATTCACACACCTGTGAGCTAAGTGATTTTTTTTTTCAAAATGGTGAATATTTCTCTTACAAAATCAAGCCTACACTTGGTGTGAGTGTAGGACATGCTGTTAATATAAACCAATTAATATCAAGGTTTCATCACTACTGAGATGTCAGTCACCACCTACAGAGGTCTGTCCTGCAGATCCTGACTCAAAGATGGTTGAATAAATGCACTCTCACACCCATTACAGTGATTTAAGTGGGCTAGGGATGGTCATTGACTGCTTTCCAAGGGTGATTGCAGCCAACCAACTAAGACCCCTGTCCCATCCTCACATTTATTCAGTATGGATTTAATAACAGAGGTTCTAAGTTAACTGCCTGTGAATAATTAATATGGTTAAAAGAGTAGTTTTATGAATGATAAAAGCTTTAGGTTCTGGGGCCCAGAGTAAACACCATTAACAGGTAATTCCCGTTTGACCTCCCCCTGAGAGGACCATCCAGCACAAAGTTTACATGAGTAAATCGTTAGCGTAGAGACAAAGGAATGTGGGGTAAACAGACTTAAACTGGGAAAGACTCTTATCGTCTCTTTTTCCTATGCTGACGTAATGAAACAGCTGCCTTCAGCCTGTCCCAACAAAACCTTTCAGCCTTCTAAAAGGTTTGTGACTAAACTTCCTCTTCCCTAATATTTTACCAGTCACCTCAAGTGAATTCCAACACCTGCTTCTCTTTGATTAATAACCCCAGTTCCAAGATGTAATTTTGGTGGAATAATAATTGAATAGCATAACATTATTTATGAAGTTATTTGAGGAAATCTCAGTTGATCGATGAAAGTTTACTTGCTTGATGTCTGACATTTGTTTATGTTACTTACAAAACACATCGTGTGTGTGTGCATGTGTGTGCACACACGTGTACACATGGGCTATATTAAAAACTCAGGCTTTCTGCACTGTGGATGAGGTTGATCCAACCAAGCCGGACTGTGTGTTTCCTGAGGAATCACTGTGGGGAGAGTAGATAAAGTAACAGCTTTAGAATCATATATTTAGATTCAAATATCTGGTTTGAATCTTGACTCTGAATTTACTGGTTGTATGACCATGGGTAGATTACTGAAATTCCTTAACTCTTCCTATTTTCCATTCCTAAATGTGTATGATGAATTATTTGCAGAGTCATTTGGAGGTTTGGTGGTACGGAATGCAGACACCAAGTACAGACAGGCTCCAGAGAAGGGTTTGCTTACTTGTTCACACTTTTTTGTCTTTCTGTCTTCTGTCACTCTAGGTCTTCCCTTTCTTTATTCTCCATGGTGGTGCCTGGTTGCTGTGACTCTAGGGGTCCTTTGCCTGGGATCGGTGGTGATCATTATAAAGCTGGGTGTGGAATGTAAGTGCTAAAATAAGGAACTAGTCTTTGTCCAGGTGGGAGTGTTGGAAATGAGGTTAATAAATATAGTATATGGTTTATAAGTTTCTTTCATAACAGCTACAAACAGCTATGATTTAGATTCATTTTAGGCAAAAAAAAAAAAAAAAAAATTGTTTTGAGACAGAGTCTCACTGTCACCCAGGCTGGAGTGCAATGGCATGGTTTTGGCTCACTGCAACCTCCACCTCCTGGGTTCAAGTGATTCTCCTGCCTCAGCCTCCTGAGTAGCTGGGATTACAGGTGGGTGCCACCACAACAGGCTAATTTTTGTATTTTAAGTAGAGACAGAGTTTCCATATCTTGGCCAGGCTAGTCTTGAACTCCTGCTCTCATGATCTGCCTACCTGGGATTACAGGCATGAGCCACCGCACCCCAGACAGCAAAATGTTTTTATAGTGACCATGAAGATAAATGGGTATATTGTTCATCCTCAAATGAAGGCATAAAATGAAGATTATAATTGGTTAGGTTTTTTTTTGTTCGTTTGTTTGTTTTCATAACTTCATCGATAGGCTAGGTGCTTTGGCTCACACCTGTAATTTCAGCACTTTGGGATGCCCGAGGTGGGTGGATCACCTGAGGTCAGGAGTTCAAGACCAGCCTGGCCAACATGGTGAAACCCCATTTCTACTAAAAATACAAAAATTGGCCAGGTGTGGTGGTGCATGCCTGCAATCTCAGCTACTGAGGAGGCTGAAGCAGGAGAGTTGCTTGAACCCAGGAGATGGAGGCTGCAGTGAGCAGAGATTGTACCGCTGCACTCCAGCCTGGGCAACAGAGTGAGATTCCATTAAAAAAAAAAAATTCATGGATAGAGCCTATTTAAATTCTGAAACGATGGAGAAGACAATAATTTAAAGTTACAAATCTCCAAGATCATCTGAGAGGCCCAAAAGTAAAATGAATTTTATTTAGCTTGCTGTGTTTTGATAAAGATAATTAAATACCATTTTAATGTTAAGAGCCAGAAACACAATCTTAATAAATAAAATATTTAAAACAAAATATATTTCAAATGTATGATAAGAACATTTAAAAAAAGAGAGGATAGGGGCCGGGCGCGGTGGCTCAAGCCTGTAATCCCAGCACTTTGGGAGGCCGAGGCGGGTGGATCACGAGGTCAAGAGATCGAGACCATCCCGGTCAACATGGTGAAACCCCATCTCTACTAAAAATACAAAAAATTAGCTGGGCATGGTGGCACGTGCCTGTAATCCCAGCTACTCAGGAGGCTGAGGCAGGAGAATTGCCTGAACCCAGGAGGCGGAGGTTGCGGTGAGCCGAGATCGCGCCATTGCACTCCAGCCTGGGTAACAAGAGCGAAACTCTGTCTCAAAAACAAAAAACAAAAACCAAAAAACAAAAAACAACAAAAAAAAAAAAAAAAAAAAAAAGAGAGAGGATGGATACTTAGGAAAAAAAGAAGTGAAAAGAAGGTTCAGAGTGGCCCAGAAGGAAAGAAAATGGGGCCCATCATTCACTCGACCTGCCTGTGAATTTAGGTTATAGATCTCAGTGGTTTAGGCTACCCAGGATCCAGATTATTACGGCCATTGAAGTGCTATTTGCTTCTTAACTGTTGTTCAAGTTCACAGACTATTTCATTTTAAATCTGTCACTTAGAGCCTTTCCTAGTGACTGGGAGAAGTGCCCTTGACTCAGTGGTGCTGATCAGAAAAATCTTCTGAGCCTTTGATTAACAGGGTCAAAGCTGCCTTCAAACCAAGTGGTCTGCTTTGTATTGCACCATCAAAATTTGAGAACTGAGACATTTGACCGTTAACATTTATTGGCTGCTTGATTTCACAATCTTTACTTTATCGCCACCCTTTCTAAAACGTACTGTAGCCGGGGTCGGTGGTGGGTGTGGAGGAGAAAGAAAACATGCTTGAAGACTCTTGTGACACAGTGATTTACAATAATTCTGTGTGTGGCTGTCTCAAAAAAGGGGTGTGTGTCACAGTTCTTCAAATTAGGAAGTCTGGAAGAGTAGACAGAATGGGAGGAAATACAGCAGAGGAATTAAGACATAACTAGAGTAAATCACTCATGACAATTCCCGCTAATAATCACTGAGTCTGATGGGTGTCTATTTTAGGTTTTCCTTATTTTATTTATTACACTGCTATACTGGGTATCTTGTGATGACTTTTAATTTGTAACTCAATTTTAAAAACTTGGTAATTTAAAAAAAATTATAAGTGTTTGCAATGTTCCTGACATTAAAGAAAATACCACAGGAATATTCAGGAACCTCCACATCTGTAATTTCTGAGTAAACTTGGGTCGTTTTTCAGCAGCTTATCTATTGTCAAAATAGATTTAATTCTGTTTTGATTTCCTCAAAAAGTCTCTTGAGGGATTTTTATTTGGGTTGAAACTAGAGTCTTAACGAAATTGTGATTCAGTATCCCAGGTATCGGACCTCCTAACACAACAGCAAGCAAATCTAACTCACCAGAAAAATAAACTGGAGGGACAGATCTCAGCCAGGCAACAGGCAGAAGAAGCTTCACAGGAATCACAAAAAGAACTCAAGGAAATTATTGAAACCCTCGCCCAGAAGTTGAATGAGAAATCCAAAGAGCAAATGGAACTTCACCAACAGAATCTGAATCTCCAAGAAACACTAAAGAGAGTAGCAAATTGTTCAGGTATTGGAAGAAGGGTGGGGGAGAAGAGATGGTGGAAGCTTTCTGTCCAGTCTTAACTATTTTTTGGAAACAACTCTGGGCTCAAAATTGGTGTATTGTTACGCATATACTTATTCATTCATAATGTTCTATACAGGAAGTTCTCAATTTTTGTTGTTGTTGTTGTTAGATGGAGTTTCGCTCTTTTGCCCAAACTGGAGTGAAGTGGTGAGATCTCTGCTCACTGCAATCTCCACCCACTGGATTCAACGATTCTACTGCCTAGCCTTCCAAGTAGCTGAGATTGCAGACACTGCCACCATGCCTGGCTAATTTTTGTGTTTTTAGTAGAGACAGGGTTTCACTATGTTGGCCAGGCTGGTTTTGAACTCCTGACCTCAGGTGATCCACTTGCCTCAGCTTCCCAAAATGCTGGGATTATAGGTGCGAGCCACTACGCTGGGCTCATCAATTTAAATAGTACCCAGGGAGGGTGGCTGGCTTGCAAACATTACACAGATACTTCAGATTAGACAAAAATAGGAGGAGCCCAAGAAGTCTATTTATATAAGAAGAAATGAGTTAATTTTAGTTGTCTAAAGGGACTCGGAATCCAGAGGCAGGCAGAAATAGTAGCATCTATAAGAAGATTATGATGTGAATTCTGATACTGTTACAGAAGCTGCTGCATTATTTGGTCTTTCTGCAGTATGTCATTAAATCTGGTATATGTTTTTAGGCATGGGGGAGTTAAAAGATGTGACAGAGTCATTCAGAGGTACTTTGTTTCCTTGGAGGTGCATAAATTAGTGCCCTATTGTCAGGATTAGTAAACAACTGCCTCTCATAAACAAAGATCTTTCTAACTTCTTGCTTGCAATTCACTTAATCTCAACCACATAATTTCTTTGAATAAAGAGTATATAATAACAGTTCACAGATACTTAAACTTTTCCTTAACAGGTGAAACACTGAGAGCTAGGTAAAGTTAAATGATAATAAAAAGTAATTTCGTGTAATGTTTTTCAGTTTATAAATTGCTTCACTATTTAGAAGTCATGCACTTTTTCAAATTGAGCAGGAATTTTTAGCAAGTACCAAACGTATTTAATCTCTTTAAATTGGAGCTTTCAAGGAAATGAATATACCACCTTCAAGAAGGCTTAAAGGAAGAAGTCTTATATATTAAGGGTAGGAATGTTTATAAAAGCAGAAATAACCACACACCAGTCAATGGTTATATCACAGGCAAGGCCACAAGACAATTTTGTCTTTATCAGTTGTATGGGATTAAATCTACATCAGGACCGTTTGGGACTATCTCCTAGAGATGCCCTGGATGAACGACTAATAAAAAACAATAAGTGACATGTCTGATGCTGGCAGATATACCAAGTAACATGTTCCATTCCTTGACAGTGTCAGATAAAGGCTAGTTAGTATAGATACCAAATAAAGTTCTACCTTTCATCAAGGACCTTTGAGAAGTCTCTAAAAAGTAATACTAAAAGGCCATATATATATATATAAAGGCCTGGTTTTTCCAGGGTGAGGCAAGTTTTATCTTTTTTACTAAAAAGACTGCAGCCTTCAATGTATATATGAGGGGGGAGAGATGCTGAGATGTTATTATATGTTTGCTTTAGGTCAATGAGCTAGTGGGATGCAGGCCTTTGCAGGAATAGACTTTACATTTAGCAATGGAATTTGAGGTGGTTCTCAAGCTTTACTGTATGTAAGTAGATTCAGGAGTTCGAGACCATCCTGGCCAAGATGATGAAAACCCGTCTCTACTAAAATACAGAAAAAAAAATTAGCTGAGCTTGGCGGTGCATGCTTGTAGTTCCAACTACTCAGGAGGCTGAGGCAGGGGAATCGTTTGAACTCGGGAGGCAGAAGTTTCAGTGAGTTGAGATTGCACCACCGCACTCCAGTCTGGCAACAGAGTGAGACTCCATCTCAAAAGAAAAAAAAAGTGGCAGATTACAGATTTACCGTAAAGATTCTGTATCAAAATGTCTTGCGTGTCACTGAGAAACATTTCCTCAAATGGTTTTAACTCAAAAGTTTGAAAAGTAGTATGTTAGAGGCCGGGCACTTTGGGGGCCAATGTGGGCAAATCACTTGAGGTCAGGAGTTCAAAACCAGCCTGACCAACATGGTGAAACCCCATCTTAAAAAAAGAAAGAAAAGAAAAGAAAAGTAGTATGTTAGAGTGGTGAAACACACAGAATCTAGAGTTAGATTGCGTAGGTCCAGATTCGCCTCTATTTGTCAAAAGAAGAAAATGAATGGAACCTATCTCATAGAGATAGCGTGAAGATTAAATGAGTTGATATCTGTAAAGTACTTTCAACAGTTTCTGGCACATAGTGAGTGATATTTGTGTTTGTTAAATTATATAACAAATACAAATGTCATTTACTATGTTTATTTTGGTGTACACACACATACAAACACACACAAACACACAGAAATGCAGTTAGTTTAAATACTACATTTTGTAATGTGTCCTTCTTCCTTTGTCATAGCTTGGAAAACTTGCCCAGACTGTCCTTTTAGCCCACAAAAACTCACATATATCTACACATATATATTTTTGAGACAGAGTCTCGCTCTGTCACTCAGGCTGGAGTGCAGTGGCATGATCTCGGCTTACCGTAACCTCCGCCTCCTAGGTTCAATGACGCACACCACCATGCCCGGTGAATTTTTCTGTGTGTGTGTGTGTGTGTTTTTTTTTTGTAGAAACAGGGTTTCACCATGTTGCAAAGGCTAATCTGGAACTGCTGAACTCAAGCACTCCACCCGCCTCAGCCTCCCAAAGTGCTGGAATTATAGGCATGAGCCACCACGCCCAGCTGAAAAAGTACATATTTTTACATTGACATAATATGATGGGGTTAGGCAAATTAAGAAGTAAGAAGCTTGCATTTACTGCTTTCAACTTGGTCCCTTTTCCTTTTCATAAGCATCAGTTTGATAAAAAATCAACTTAGTGTTTTGTACACTCTTCCTCATTCACTTTCTTCTTCTTTTTTTTTAAAGACAGGATTTCACCATATTGGTCAGGCTGGTCTCAAACTCCTGACCTCAGGTGATCTGCCCACCTCGGCCTCCCAAAGTGCTGGGATTATAGGTGTGAGCCTCCACATCTGGCTTCACTTTCTTCTTTTGTCTTTCAGTCCCTTCTATTTTCTCCTCTCTGATAAAGCCTACTCTTATACATTAATCTAGTGATTTTATACCACAATGAGAATGAAATAAAAACACTGCCTTTCTCAAATATTTTAGTTTTTCACCTTTTGGTTGCAGTGTAGACCAGGGTACTTTGTTACCCTTAAAGAGATGGAAGAGATGATGATGATGGTGGTGGTGATGATAGTGATGATTTGGGAGTTCCCGAAAGCATTCATAAACATGTGGACATTGGTATATTTTGCCTATTGTCTAAGCCCTGTGTTGGATTTGTTGGAATCCCTCTGAATTTTGCTACTGAAAATCTCCTTATTTTTAAAAATCTTATTGAAGTTGAGATCCACACTTTGTATTAATAATAGTTTCCCTAGAACAACTCTGTACAAAAGCAATATAGTACGTGCTACATATATATATCATTAAGATTTCTGGCAGCCACATAAAAATGAAAAAGTAGCAGATAAAATTAATTTTAGAAACATATTTTACTTAACCCAAGATATTTGAAATATTACTTAATACTAATCAGTATAAAACTTTTTAATGGGCTATTTTACATTCTTTTTTTCAGACTAAGTTTTCAAAATTATTTGTGTGTTTTACACTTATAGTACATCTTAATGCAAACTAGCAGGTGTGGTGGCTGATGCCTGTAATTCTAGCACTTTGGGAGGCTGAGGCAGGAGGATTGCTTGGAACCAGGAGTTCAAGACCAGCCTGGGCAACACAGGGAGACCATGTTTCAATTAAAATAATTTTTTAAAGAAATGCAAACTAGCTACATTTCTAGTACTCAAGAATCACATATGGCTACTATATTAGACTATACATGTCTAAAAGCAAGACACACAGTATTTAAGCCTAAATTCATTATTCCAAGATACAAAGTTTCAAAATATATAGGCATTGCTTGTTAAAAATAGCAGAATGGCTATTAAATATCTATTCCCCCAACCCTCATTTTCATTATTCCAAACACAACTTTAAAAAATAGATCAGTTTCTAAAATTATATGCTAGCTTAACTTGCTTTTCAGCAGGGGAAGTGAAAATGCTAAATGAGAAGTACATTTAGGTTGCTAAAATTGGTAAGGTTTCTTTTTTCTTTTTTCTTTCTTTTTTTTTTTTCAAAAATAGAGAAATAAGGACTCTGAGGCTATTTAGGTATTTGCAGAACTTGGGTGAAATTTTGCTTAAGAAGTAGTACGCGCTGGGCGCGGTGTCTCATGACTGTAATCCCAGCTCTTTGGGAGGCCTGGCCGATGTGGTGAAACCCCATTTCTACTAAAAATACAAAAACAAAAAAGAAAAATAAATAGTATGCATGTGAGAGGACTAAGGGGATAATTGATTTAAGAACTGCAGAAGTGCTTTTACTCAAACATAACTGATTGATTAGATATACTACCCTTTCCAGCTCCTTGTCCTCAAGACTGGATCTGGCATCAAGAAAACTGTTACCTATTTTCCTCGGGCTCACTTGACTGGAAAAAGAGCCAAGAGAACTGTTTATCTTTGGATGCCAAGTTGCTGAAAATTAATAGTACAGCGGATCTGGTGAGTGATTTTGGATATTTGTTGGGCTGGAGTATTGGCCGATAGGGAAATAAACCCGGTTTAGATTGTCACTGAAGGAATTCTTGTTTGAGAGCCAAAATATCTGTTTCTTAGCTTAATGCAGTTTTGGGCATGACCTTGAACTGACAGGCTCCGTAGTATCTCTAGGCTTCAGTAAGTGTTTCCATAAAACCGTCAAGGGGATGTCAAAGATCCCTTTTGGTTCGTTAGTTTTATGGATCTAATGCTAACTGACTTTCAGATTCTAAACCACCGCGTAGATTCTGCAAACTCAGAAACGTTACTCCCCACAGGACTTCATCGTGCAAGCAGTTTCCCATTCCAGTTTCCCATTCTGGATTGGGCTGTCTCGGAGGAACCCCCGCTACCCGTGGCTCTGGGAGGACGGTTCTCCTCTGATGCCCTACTTGTAAGTTTCCCATTCTTTTTGCTGCCTCTCTTGTCAGTTTCCTCTTCTTTGCTGAATCTGCTGGTGAAGTCACGGCCTGAATTCCACCAATGCCCTCTTCTTGCCAGAGAGAAGCTTGGGGGAATTTCTCAAAGTCTCCTTCCTCAACTCTCTCATAAAAAGATTTACTCATTTACCCATTCAGACCTTTTCTTGAGTTTTCCTTCCCTCATTTGTTACTGACTGGAGGCTTTAAGACAAAAAACTTCAAAAGCTAAGCTTCTGAAACGAGGTGGCAATAAATCTAAGGTGTTTTGTTTTTTCCCCCCCTCTCCCTGCCTACAGATTTAGACTCCGAGGTGCTGTTTCCCAGACATACTCTTTAGGTTCCTGCGCATATATACAACAAGGAACTGTTTTTGCGGAAAACTGCGCTTTGGTTGCCTTCAGAATATGTCAGAAGAAGGCAAATCTACTAAGAGCACAGTGAATTTGAAGTCTCTAGAAGAAAAGAAGAAAGTCTTCGAGTTTTATTCTGGAATTTAAGCTATTCTTTGGATGCAAAGCATGAAAGCCCAGAGATCGGTCGGCTAGCTCGCTGCAGAATTCCTTTGCAGAAACTGGGGCTCCAGGTGCGTGCATGGCACCTTTATGCCAGTATTTTTTATTCTAGCTGTCGGTATTACTTCACCTAGCTTGTCCCAAGCTTCCCTGCTAGCTGAAGTCCATTTTCCTTTTTTTATTTTAAAATTTGACTCTTCTTCAAGCTTGAAAACTCTCTGCAGTCTTCTCTACCTCATTATCACCTTCCCCTCACCCTCCTAAAATTGCGTAAAAGACAGAACATGGAGAACTTGCTCATATTTCCCCTTTTTGCTCTCTGCAGGCAGAGAGCAAAAAGGGGAAATATGCCCAGGAAAAGGTGCGCATGAAGAAACAGAGAAGGGCAGAGGCCATCCCAAAATCAAGAAACACATGTTCTTCACTTTAAAAGCTATCACTCCTTGTTTTGTTTGTTTGTTTGTTTTGTTTTGTTTGTTTGTTTGTTTGAGACAGAGTTTTGCTCTTGTTACCCAGGCTGGAGTGCAATGGCGCAAACTTGGCTCAACGCAACCTCCGCCTCCTGGGTTCAAGCGATTCTTCTGCCTCAGCCTCCCAAGTAGCTGGGATTACAGGCATGTGCCACCATGCCCGGCTAATTTTTTATATTTTTAGTAGACGGGGTTTCACCATATTGGCCAGGATGGTCTCGATCTCTTGACCTCATGATCCACCCGCCTCAGCCTCCCAAAATGCTGGGATTACAGGCGTGAGCCCCTGCGCCCGGCCCACTCCTTGGTTTTTAAGCTGTGGTTCAATCTCCAGACTCTGTACCATTTACACACACACACACACACACACACGCACACACACGCACACACACACACAATTTTGGAACAAGTGGGGAGTCCAAAGAATTAATTAGTAAATGAGTGGTCTTTTCTCTGAGCTAATTCACAACCTATTAGTACCTCCTAAATCAGTTATTATTTCTTTATCGTTTTTTCTACCAGAGAACAGCTTACTAGCTTTAACCCTTCACAACAGTTCTTGTTAGAATCATGGGATGTGTGGCCCAGAGGTAAGAATGAAATTTCTTTCCCTAAAGAACATACCCTTTGTAGATGACCTCTTCTCAACTTTATTTTGCTATGCTATAATTTTGAAACATACAAGACGAGAAAATGAAGACATTCAATCAGAACAAACTGAACCGGGCATTCAAATATTACTGAATAGAAACAGAAGGAATTAGAAATATATCTTCTGTTTTCAGGTTTCTATTTCCTTTCCACTCATTCTTCATAGGCTATTCTACTTTAAGGAAGTCCTTTTATTTTGCTGCACATAATCTAGCAGGAATCTTTTTTTTGTTGTTTGGTTTTCTTGAAGAGCTGAATCATCCTTAGGAAGTCAAGAGATGTTTGCTTTTGTTAATAGCTTTATTGAGATATAATTAACATAAAATAAACGACATCTTAAAGTGTACAATTTGATATGTTTTTCACACCTTGTGAAGAAGATGCCTACCACAATTAAGAGAGTGAACATATCCATCATCCCTTCAAGTGTCACAATGCCCCTCCCAATGACTTGTCCCCAGAAAATCACCAATCGGCTTTCATTTTGCATTTTATAGAGTTTTATACAAATGGAATCATATAGTATGCCTTTTTATTGTCTGGCTTCTTTGACTTTGCATAATTATTCTGAGATGATATGTCTCCATCTTATTGCTTATATGAATTTTTCATTCTTTTAAATGCTGAATATTCCCTTGAATTACATACATCACAATTTGTTTACCCATTTACTTGTTGATGACATTCAAGTTGTTTCAGTTTTGGGATATTACAAATAAAGCTGCTATGAACATTTGTGTACAAGTCTGTATGAACACAGGATTTCTTTTCTCTGGGGTGAATACTTAGGAGTATAATGTCTGGATTACACAGTAGGTGTATAATTAACTATTTAGGAAACTGCCAGACTGTTTTCCAAAGTTGTGCCATTTTATATTCCTCTCAGCAGTGTATGAGTGTTCCAATTCCACCTCATCCATGCCCCAATTTGATATGGTTTGTCTTATAGTTTTAATGATTCTAATAGATATATAATGGTATATCCTCATAGTTTTAATTTGTATTTCCTCAAATTTTTGTTTGTTTGTTTTTGAGACAAAGTTTTGCTTTTGTTGCCCAGGCTGGAGTGCAGTGGCACAATCTCGGCTCACAGCAACCTCCACCTCCCAGGTTCAAGTGATTCTCCTTCCTCACTCTCCTAAGTAGCAGGGATTACAGGTGCCTGCTGCCACACCTGGCGAATTTTTGTATTTTTAGCAGAGAAGGGGTTTCACCATATTGGCCAGGCTGGTCTTGAACTCTTGACCCCAGGTGATCTACCCGATTCAGCCTCTCAGCATGCTGGAATTACAGGCATGAGCCACTGTGCCTGGCAAATTTTTATAAGCCTGTTTTCCACCTGTATTAGGTAATTTTGATAAAGAACCTGTATAAATCTTTTGAAAATTTTTGCGTGGTTTATTTTTCTTGCTGTCGAGTTTTGAGAACTCTATATATTCGGGATAAAAACCCTTTATCAGATATGCATCTTGAATTTTTTTTTTTTTTTTTTTTTTTTTTGAGACGGAATCTCACTCTGTTGCCCAAGCTGGACTGCAGTGGCACGACCACAGGTCACTGAAGCTTTGACCTCCCAGGGTGAAGTGATTCTACTGTCTCAGCCTTCAAAGTAGCTGGGACAATGGGGACCACAGGTATGCACCATCATGCCCAGCTAATTTTTTTTTTTTTTTTAATTTGAGAAAGAGAGACAGGCTCTTCCTATGTTGCCCTGGCTGGCCTCGAACTCCTGGGCTCAACTGATCCTCCTGCCTCGGCCTCCTAAAGTGCTGGGATTGCAGGTGTGACCCACCATGCTGGCTAGTATTTTTTTTTTTTTCTTTTTTTTCAGACAGAATCTCTCTGGTGTCGCCTGGGCTGGAGTGCAATGGCACAATGTAGACTCACTGCAACCTCTGCCTTCCGGGTTCCAGCAATTCTCCTGCCTCAGCCTCCTGAGTAGCTGTGATTACAGGTGTCTGCCCCCATATCTGGCTAATTTTTGTATTTTTAGTAGAGATAGGGTTTTACCATATTGGCCAGGCTGGTCTTGAACTCCTGACCTCTAGTGATCCACCCACCTTGGCATCCAAAGTGCTGGGATTACAGGCATGAGCCACCGTGCCCGGTCCTGCCCAGGATTTTTAAACATAGTTCTCCCCCTCCTTTTTTTTTTTGAGATGGAGTCTCATTCTGTCACCCAGGCTGGAGTACAGTGGCACAGTCTTGGCTCACTGTAACCTCCACCTCCCAGGTTCAGGCAATTCTCCTGCCTCAGCCTTCTGAGTAGCTGGGATTACAGGTGTGAGCCACCACGCCCAGCTAATTTTTGTATTTTTAGTAGAGACGAGGTTTCACCATGTTGGTCAGGCTGGTCTCGAACTCCTGACCTCGTGATCCACCCGCCTTGGCCTCCCAAAGTGCTGGGATTACAGGCGTGAGCCACCGCGCCCGGCCTAGTTTTCTTTTCTTTATATGGCTTTGCCTTGTTAGAGTATCCAAGAAATATTTCTCAATGTCAATTTTCTGGAAGACTTTGTTTACAGTTAGTACTATTTCTTCATTAAATGTTTTATACAATTTACCCTGATGTCATCTGGGCATAGATAGGATTTTCTTTGTAGCAAGGTTTTAATTACAGATTCAGTTTTTTTCTTTCCTTTTCTTTCTTTCTTTCATTTTTTTTTTTTTTTTTGAGACCTCCCTCTGTTGCCCAGGCTGGAGTGCAGTGGTTCCATCTCCTCTCACTGCATCCTCCCGGTTCCGGCAATTCTCCTGCCTCAGCCTCCCAAGTAGCTGGGATTACAGGTGCAAGCCACCATGCCCAGCTAATTTTATGTATTTTTAGAAGAGATCAAGGTTTCACCATTCTGGCCAGGCTGGTCTCAAACTCCTGACCTTGTGATCCACCCACCTCAGCCTCGCAAAGTGTTGGGATTACAGGCGTGAACCTCGATGCCCAGCGAGATTCGTTTCTTTACATGTTGAGCTGTTCAAAGGATTCCTTCTTCGATGAGCTTTCATGGTTACTGTCTTTCAGGGTTTTTATGTGCTTCATCTAAGTTGTTCAATTTATTGGCATACCATTTATAAAAATTATTTTAGTGCCCGGCGCGGTGGCTCACGCCTGTAATCCCAACACTTTGGGAGGCTGAGGCGGGTGGATCACAAGGTCAAGAGATCGAGACCATCCTGGTCAACATGGTGAAACCCCGTCTCTACTAAAAATACAAAAAATTAGCTGGGCATGGTGGCGCACACCTGTAATCCCAGCTACTCGGGAGGCTGAGGCAGGAGAATTGCCTGAACCCAGGAGGCGGAGGTTGCGGCCGAGATCGCGCCATTGCACTCCAGTGGGTAACAAGAGCGAAATTCTGTTTAAAAAAAAAAAAAATTATTTTAATATCTGTAGAATCTTTAGTGTTGCTCCTTCTTTCCTTCCTTACAGTGTTAATTGTATCTTCTCTCTCTCTCTCTCTCTCTCTCTCTCTCTCTCTCTCAACTAATCTGCTTAGCTAGAGATTTATCAATTTCATTTTTCTTTTTTTTTTAAAAAAGCTATTTGGTCAACAAAGGTAAAATGGCCAAATAGATGCAGCCAGGAAGCAGCACTCCTGCTGAAATGTGTAGCTACAAGCGAACTACACTCCCCATAAGCATTTGAACCGGCATGGAGATATGCCCTCCAAGCAGGCAGAGGCAGAACTCAGAACTCCAGCCTGCATAGAGCCCTGGGTTTTTTTTTTTTTTTTTTTGCGTAGGGGTCCGTTCCAGTGGAACACGGCCATACGCATCCATCCCCCAAGGCTCTCGGTCTTCTTGCGAATAACTCTAACCCCGCTTACTGCCTTGCAAGGAGAAAAGCAGGGCCGATTATCCCTTGCGATTGGGGCACTTGTATTCCGCAGGATCTCCTGCCCTCCAGCCTCCCTCAAGGCCTCTGCCTGGCTGCTCTAGGAGCCTGTGAACGGTGCAGCCCTCACTGCCCGTCCTGGGTGATCTGCAGGCCGACCTGCCTGCGTTCTTTCCCAGCGGCCCGAGAGCACTGGGATCCCCCATCTCAGCGCGGGCCCGAATCCGAGGCGCGGGCTGGCGGATGTGCTGGCTGGGGCCG